TGCATCCTCCTTGGTCTAACTGTATTCTTTATGTCACCAGCATGAACCATGAGGGTGCAAAAGAGGATAAAGGTGAAGCAATCCTGCACGCCTCATTGTTGGGAGACCCCAAGACTTCCTCCCAGGGCTGTGATGAGTGGAACATCCTGGAGCCTCTTGGAGATCTGATTGATGATGACGAACTATACTTTTCTCTGGGTGAAACTTGTGAGTCTTCCCTTGTGAAATGAATTGCCCTTATGAAGCCTTATTTCTTTGTATGCAAAACAAAATTCAGGATATTGAACATGGGAGCTGACAGGATGGTGAGGCTGAAGGGTTTGCAGCTGGTTTTTCCCCTGTGGTGCCACTGTCTGACATACTTGCACATACCCAGTCTCTCAGGGCTGGATCCCTGATTGCCCTTCGTAGGACTTGCAAATAGTAGACCCAATTTTGTACTTTAAACAATAGTGAATGTCCCAAAATGTTTTTTCTATTGATTTTGTCATGAGAGATATTATTGTCAGGGTTCCTCATATCTGTGCTACCAGCTGTTTTTCTTCTTCATTGTCTTGTCTCTTGTAAGTTATCAACTTTTGGTAGAATTTAAATTCTTCTTGACTGTGCCTGGCTTTAATCCTTAAGATGATCCTTGCCAGTATTTTATGTTGTTTTGTTTTGTTTTGTGTTTTTTGAGACAGAGTCTCCTAGTGTAGTTCAGGCAGGCTCTGTACCACTATGGCGCTTATCCTGTTCTGAAATTCACATTGATGTTTCTGTCTCAGCCTTCTGAGTACTGAAATTACAGGTGTTCAACACTCTGCCCAGGAAGACCTGACATTTGCAGCTGGTGAATGCAATATATTTTCTTGAGTATTACTAAAGGTACTTTTTTGGAGTTTGTAGCGAGTCTATTTGTCATTCTATAAAACAATGACTTAGTTTGAACGATTATTATATTTACTGCAAATTCCAACGTGGTATTAACTGAATAGATTAGTGAGAGCTGGCCAGGTGATGAGGAAATCAAGCCATCTAATACTTTTAGTAGGAAGAAGCAGACTTTCTAAGATAGGGTCCTCAGTGACCTGCCCTCAGACGGAGATCCCCTGTATGTCTGTGTCTAACTTGGCTCTGTGTGCAGTGGATCGGATGAATTCCTGTGGTGATGCTCTGTGTCTGTATATATGGGCAGATCCTCAGGAAGCTGGGAATGAAGAAAAGGAAGCAGAGCACGTGGTGCTCAGGTGAATCTGAACATCAAAGGCTGTGAATGCAATGGTGACTCTTGGAGATCTCAGGTCCCAGCAATAGCAGACACTGCTCTATATTAGTGTTTACTCTTTTTTGCCAGCCAGGAATGATTTTTGTTTCTTTGTACTTCTTTGTTGGATTTCCACCAATTTTTCTTTTCATGTATTATAACCTAGAGTCCTTGGAACCTCAGAAATGATCTCCCAATGATGTGGCGCCCGGTGATGTAGGGTTGTAGCCAGGGATCCTTCTCATTGTGCCCCTGCAACACTCCATCCTAGTTGGAGTGCAGATTCTCCCTCTCATCAGAACGTGCTCACCCCCATGCATGAAGCCCTTGCTGCTTTCTCACCCATCCCCTGTGCTGCTCTCACTGCCAACACAGTCATTCTCTGTTGTGTT